CGAAGTTTCAAGACCCCCACCTCGGCTTCAAAATATGCCTCAGGTGCTTCACCTCCATCAAATCTGTCCAAAATACACCAAGGCAGTGAGCCAGTTGATGCAGGCCACGACAGCCGCACAAAACCGTTGGATCCAGCCGTCACCGCAGTAGACCATGCCATAGCCGTGGAAACACGGCTTTTCCCTTACTGGTGGTGCCAGGCGGCTCGATCCCCGCCACGCTGGCCACGATGTTCTCCGTGTCTTCCTCCGTCGAATTCGCCTCCGGTTGTCCGTTTACCGATGCTAAGGCCACCGGCGGCGCCACATGGCGTGGCAAGCGGAGCTTTGGTATTCTGCACCCCCTAGCAATTGCCACGCGGGGCCCTGCGGGCGTGCGCCTCGCCGCGGCCAGGCGAGACGGGCCGCCGAAGACGCGGCAGGTTCGTAACTGCAGCCGAGGCATGGCTTCGCGGCAGCTGCTGCTCGCTGTTGTGTGCGCCAGCGGGTGTTGCCCGTCGATGCGATCGGATTGACAACCAGCGACTGCGTTCTGTGGCTGGGTGTGGTGGTCTGTTGGCTGAATCCTGCCCTGTGGAGCGCTTGTGGCGTCGATGTGGACGTGTGGAAGTCGGTGTGTTCGCGTGACGTGGAAGTCGGTGTGTTCGCGTGACGTGACTGTCACGTCAAGTGACGCGCGTTGCGTTGGACCGCGTTGACTTTCTCGAGTCTGATGACAGTTTGTGAGCTTTGGCGTTTGTTAATTTGCTGATAGTGGCCACAGCGAAATGATTGCACTGGGCTTCATCAGCAAATCATACACATCGTCATCATCATCATCATCATCGTTTGTTACGTAACAAGGCAGTGAGCAGTGGTCAGCTCGCTATTTTGCCTGAGCGAAGCAGAGTCTGTGATCCGTTCGTTGAAATCTAATGTAATACACAAACAAAATCTGTGATCTGTGCCTTTTCGGTCTGCGTGTCCCCTATGCTCAGGCACAGGAAACGATCCAGTGTGCAAAAAACCTTCTGCAGAACTGGGCTGTGGCGGGGGGGAGTTCGGCAACAAAAAAGATGGCGCTCACTGGCGCGCGTCCCCTTTGGCTCCTCCGTCAGTGAGTCCAGAAACCGGAACACAAAATCCAGTTCCAAACTGGCTGTCCAGTAACCACTGCGCGTCCTCCCGTGTGGTACTCCGTTCCCAAGTTCAATTTTGTCCCGTAGCATTTAAGAGAGGCGCCGTCTCCCGTTCACATCCCAATCTGGCGCTTCCCACCCTGCGCCGTCCTAAACGTAAACGCTTTAACTACGCTAACGCTGCTTACGTGAAACGGCCGGCTGCTCCCGCCCTTTGGGGGCAATCAGCCGCACTCCCACCGGAGGTCCCAATGAAATCGCATGACTACAAATACACTAATGTACAAGGAGAGAAATCCGGAACTCGGGCATCACAGTTTTGCCTTCCAAATCAGAACGATCTGGCTCTTACTCAAACAAATGCCCGAGGGAGGATTGCAGGCGCTCTGGGCCAGCGCGCATCCAGCCGAAGAACTTGAAGTCGGAGGCAGTGGCGCGGTGCGCCATGGCGATGTAGCGCTGAATCGCGTCGGACTTCAGACTCCAGCCACCCCAATCAGCAATGTGCCAAATGCCGACGCCCAGAGAGAAAGCTGAGGTGGCGCCACCTTTCCGCAAGGAGTGATGAGTCAACTCTGCCACATCGATGCCACGAATGATAGATGCAGCCTGCCGGTACCAGCGCTCCACCGACGTCGCAGTGGGGGCGTGGCCGTCCGCAGGCAGCGCCCAGAAAGAAGACTCCTGGGACCGGCGAGGGTGTCCTGCCGCCGCCCAGGCCGCGTCCCGTGCGCGGCGCCAGTCGGAAAGGCAAAACTGTGATGCCCGAGTTCCGGATTTCTCTCCTTGTACATTAGTGTATTTGTAGTCATGCGATTTCATTGGGACCTCCGGTGGGAGTGCGGCTGATTGCCCCCAAAGGGCGGGAGCAGCCGGCCGTTTCACGTAAGTTACGTAACAAGGCAGTGAGCAGTGGTCAGCTCGCTATTTTGCCTGAGCGAAGCAGAGTCTGTGATCCGTTCGTTGAAATCTAATGTAATACACAAACAAAATCTGTGAGTCTATTAACTCCTGTCGTCTGGAAGCGATTGTCCATGATAATACATCAAGCGAAGTGTCATCGCCAGTTGGCGAGCGAGAACCGAAGCAAAAAGCGTATTTGCATCGTGACGTTGGAAATACAAGAGTGGCTTCTACGGATGAAATCATAGGCCTGGCAGTGGAAGAGGAAATAAATCTCGTCTTCTGGAGCCAAGTGGCATAAAGGGCGCAATCGCCTTGAAAATTCTGGAATGGGTTGCCTCGCTTGTTGTCGTTGTGTCTCGACTACAGACCATGTACTCCACAGCGAAATCACAGGGAAAATGTCCTCAAGGAAATAGGCTGCAATTCTGATAGGAATCATTCGTATCAGTAGACGGGCTTAGTGTGTTCGTACCGTCGTTCAATCCCTGAAGATTGGCTGGAGAAAACACTAGCAATGTGGACGTGTTTGTAGATCCGTTGATAGGACTGTACGTCCACTGGTGCAGCCTCCGTTGAACTGAGATCTGCCCAGAATGGATGGGAAAAGGCAATGATGCGCCCATCCCACAACCGAGTACTGGCTTTGCATCTCAGGCGAGGAGGTAGCCATCAGTTGCTTATTTCGCCCTAGTGCAGTATTGTCCATGACTTGTTTGATGATTTCGCAAGATGTTGCTGCGATGCAGCAAACCACTTTATTGCTTTGCATTGGAAATCATCAATCCGCCATAATCAGGCCATTAATTTGTCACAGGGCTTCGTGAATTTGCGAGTTTAAATGACAAAAGCTCAGTGGTTGGTCGTCTTGGGATCCAACTGAACCAATCATGGAACATTAGTTTGCTCGCGTAACAAAGGGAGCTGCTGACCAGCAGCTGGCCATGGCCATGGCCAGCCCTTCGCCTTGACAACTGTTCCTTGATTGTGCGGTGCCCGTTTTGTAACGCCACCAACATTTCTGCGATTATTTAACAAAGTGTTCAACATTTTGTTGAAAACACACAAGTCGTGCAGTTTCACAACTTACGCTAGACACCAAAAGTTTGATAAAGGCGTAAAGGGCACCGACTCCATCCTATTTCGCTTCTGACTCAACCATACATGCAATAACCGTGCATAAATGCCCATCTTGGTCTCCTTTGGAATGTGGCGCCCTAGGCATGAATTCTAATGCCTCCGTGAATGTGGGGAATGCTGGTAGTAGCGTGTTCGGACTTCTCGGGTGTCCTTCTGGATGGGCTGCCAAGTGCGCCTTGCTTCTGTGATAATTGTGTGCAGCCTGTGTCCCTTGAACTTTGAAACTTCAATGACTACTCGAAATAGGTCGGGCAGTGCTTTCCCAGGCATTGAAGGCTCAAGCTCCCGCCATGAGAGCCAACGTTCAAGACTCCTGAAGCAAGAGCAGCTCGGAATCGCCTGCGGATCAACTGGCCGGCCATTTTGCGGCTCAGACGGCCAGCACGGCCCCAAACCGGGTGGGGTATTCGTGGTTTGGTTTGCTGGAGTGTCTCGAACGGTGTGAACCCAACTTAGTTTAGTGTCCTAGAAACGTTTGGATCATCGTGGCTGAAGTTCTGCCGTCAAATGTTGCCCACTTTAAGCACTTCCTAACTCTGCCCAAAATGTGCTTAAACGGGACCAGATCGTTGAACGTACGTGTGTTTCAATGGCATCACCCTTGGTTTTGAAAGACGTGACACGGACATCCCGACGACCTCTACTCGTACGGCCCAAATGTCCGTCCCTCTCCACCATTTCGTCGTCACAAGCCCACAGCAACGGACACCCAGCAAAAGTCCACCCTCACCATGTCCCTGTTGCATCACCATCCCGAATCCAGCCCCCTCCCTCTGTCACTGCTGCTGGTTGCCTCATGTGTGCATGTGCAGCATTCTATCCAAAGAACAGAAACAATCAAAGCAAATTTCAAGCACTCTCCACAATTCCCTACTGTTCCGCCGAGGTCTACCTCCCCCTGCGAGTCCTCCATTGACACTCGTCTGCCCCTGTCATCGCCTTGCAGTTGCAAGGGCAGTGATTGTCCTGCTGAGGACATATCATTGGCCCTCTCCTTCTCCCATCAGACTTGTCTGAAAACAAGGTTCTCAACAAAAAGGGACAGTGCTTGGACAATGTGTGGACAGGGATGTGAAGACAATCAATCAAAGGGCCAATCGCAATGTTGTACATGTTCAGAAGCTGAACGCACACTACAAGGTTGCACTAAACAAACATAACTCTGCGAAACGCACCCGTCCTTTCAAATCGTTATGACAGAACTGCAAGAAAATTAATGGTCTGCAGCTGCTGGCATCTGTTCCCCAATTGCGTGCTGCTCTACGTAGGAAACCGCCATGCAGAAAAGCGCGGCTGCGGAAAAATATGTGTGGCCCCATGACCTCATGAGCATGGAGCTGAGCATGGCTGCTTCCAAGCACAATGCAGAAAATCGAAATCGGCAAACCGATCAGAGGCAAAATCATTGCCACACTGCCTCGCATGTGTCCCTTCATGCCAATGCATCGCCATCAACCTTGCTCTGTCCCCCCGTGGCGTCTTCCTGACCAAGGCTCTTGCCATCTCCACAATGTGACCTCTTGGCACTTTCAATCCGCTGCTTGGCCACAAAATTCCCATGCTTGCAATGCACCTGCAATGTCATGGAGACCGAAGCACTGGACATGTTCAATAACAAGAGGAAGTCATGGGATGGCCAAAACGCACCACTAAGAAGAGTGGGCCAGAGCAATCCAAACAGTTGGAGGTGTCGTCCCCCCTGGTGCCTTCAGCACCCACTCACCCAACAAAATATCGCCTCCTCTTTGCATCCAATACCCAGCCAACCACCAATGCCCTGGCTCCCAATCTCCAGCCAAGCCTATCAAACAGCAAAGCATTGGTCAATACTGCCAATATTCAGTAAGCAACACCACCAACCCTACAGTCGGCCAGACTAGCAGGGCCATCGATTCTGTGAATGTTTTCTTGTGCTTTCAAGACTTCGTTCATGAGGCCCTCCTCCTTCCTTGATCTCTTGTACTGAATGTGCTCTGGAGACCCTTCCTCCACAATATTATAGAATCTGGCCCCCTGTTTTCTGGCTCTGCCCCTGGACTGCACCCTCTCAGTACCAGTCTGAGAGACCGTGTAGCGAACCACCAGCTCACAGCTCGCCACATCTATTCCCTCCTCCGCTGCGCTGGTTGCCAACAGCAGACATTCCCCGGTAGCCCGGAATCTCTTCAGTACGTCATCCTGGCGAGCACAAATGCAAGCAGGCAGTATTGAGGGCCGTTCAGGGTTGAACAGACCTTGCTACAGAAGTAATCCGCTCATGGAAGTGAAAAGCACCAGGGATCGCCCAATGGCCCCACAGCAGTGCCTTCCAGGATCTGGACAAAGTAGCAACAGTGGGATTCCAGTACAATAGTTGAAGTTAAGACTAGTCTGTGTTTGGCAAACAGCAATTTCATGGCGCTGCCAGGGCTTCAGCCTCTTGTTTGCTCAATGTTCTCACCTGGGCTGTGGAAGTCATTCCCCTCAATATCTTGTTCCCTTCCTCCATACCGATTTGCATCTTTTTGCCCTTGCCGTGGCCAACCAGCATCAATATGTCCAAAGCCTCCAGCTGGGGCATGCTCTTCAGCATTTCACAGAGCTGTGCAACCCCCGCCCTGGTTCGGACAAAGACGATGCCGTGGAAGTCTTTCACACCCTTTGAATGTTCATGTATTATGTCCACCAGGGCAGCGAAGCGTGGAAAGCTCCGTGCCTCGATCGCAAGTGGTGCCTGACCCTGACGGGTCATCATTATGGGTGGGTGGTTTTGAAAACACCTTGCAAGATTCTTGAAGTTACAGATGCGCTGGCCATCAAAAAGGTTAGGAAATTGCTGCTTCAGGGATTCTTGCCTTTTACTGATATAGTCGTTGACATAGTCGTAAGTGCTTTCACGACCAACGTCATGCACCAGGTCCAAAGCGCTGTTCATCCTTTCCAAGAGACCCAGCCATTCCTTGAAGTCAGCCTTCTGCATTTCAAGAACTGCAGACTTGTCAATCCTTTGCTGCACCAAGGCCAGCTTGTCTGCCAGCGTAGAGGATGCAAAGCCACTAGTGAGCTTCGAGCTTCGGAGAATGGACTCGATGTCTAGGTCGCCCAAAGCTGCAGACAAAATGCCACCAAATATCAGGAGCTGCAAGGTTGCTCATGAGATTTCCTGCAATAGTGTACATGGTATCTATCACTGCGTCATGGAACAGCCACAACACCCGCTGATTTCAGAGACAAAGCCAGAAAACGAGTGGGCCGAACTTGCAACGTCTCCTTGTTGCTCAGGTACCTGTATGGTGGCTTGCAGTACTTTTCAGTTGGCAACAGAGCACAAACAATGTGTGGCCACGTCATGCTTGCATGCAAGTCCAAGTTTGGGCTTGGGCATGGATGGTATTTGAAGTAGGACTATGTGCACCGACCGGTACATGATGTGCTGTGTTGCATGTTCCTTCAATTTCATCAGCCGCGACAGCAGTGACAAACAGACATGCACCACTGGTTCCTCCACTAGGCTCGTCCATGGAGGGTAGATCAAAAAGCAGTTTCTCTGTGATGTTGTTCCTGTTATTTCAGACATCTCCATCATCTGCTGTGCAGCATGTGAACAAGCCTTGCAACGATGCATTGCTCAGTAATGGATTGCCCAAAGACTAGCGTGATTCTGTCCAAATACAATCCTCGGCCACACAGCAGGCAGCAAGCTCGTGGTGAAGCTGAGCAGGAAGCCCGGAAAGGAGATGTAAAGTTAGTGTGATATCACCATGAATCACGATTTTTTCCATTAATGGCTAAATGGATTGACACATGTATCTACATGTCGTGTGGGTTGAGTAGAACAAACATAGTGACAAATGCGATTCTGTGTGATTGCTGATCTGCCAGCCCCCCCCCCGCCCCCCCACCTGAGCGCTGAACTTCTCTTCTCTCTTTCTTGAGACTGAGCAATCCGTTGGTTTCTAACAATTTGGGGATGTTATGTTGCCTTGCACGCTCTTGCTAGGCGGCACAAGGCCCACATATCTTGTGATAGGAAGGCGAAGGCACTGGACGCTGAAATGCGATGTAATATTTTAAAAAATGACTTGCATCTACTTGGGCATTTCGAATCTGCAATTAGTTCCTGAAGAGCTTATTCCAACATACCCCACCCTAAGGCTAGTCGTCACACACATGATTTTTACGATTGCAAGAGACGAATAAGACTTCAGATCTGCAACCTCGCACTCTGAACTCCAGAAATCCACAACAGCACATGGCATTCACAACCCAGACAAACCAGAACAGGTCTCTCTTGCCGTACGTGTGTTATATATTGCCCTTCCTTCATGAGCCTTTCTCAGCAAGTCTTGCATGAGCTCTCCAAGATATTTGCCCCACTTGCCATCAGCGTCCCTGCGCTTCACAGCTGTGTAAACCTCCTGTGCTTTTGGGACTAACTGTGCTATCTCTACATTGTCATCTGGTATCCAGAGTCCAGTCTTGACATCCAGTGCTTCCAGCAAGCGGCAGAGGTTGCTGCTGGCAGCTGCCTGTGCACAGTCATGTTCACTATCAGGGGTATGAGATTAACTTGAAACTAGGCATCGTGCCAATAGAAAAGAAAGCCACATGCAGACCACAAAACTTTAGGGTGGATGTTTTGACCAGCCTTAGCACACACTGCCCAGATTCGCTAATTTCTGGTGGACTCTGTGCAGATATTTGATCGGCTAGAACTAGCAACTTTGCTTGTAATTCCCAGGGTGCATAAGTGAACACGTTACTGGGTATGTTGCTGACTTCAAACGTGGCTGCACAGTGAAACAAAAGCAAGCCGCTCACCATCCATACATCAATGACAAGCTTGGCAGCGCAACACCTCCACACTTTACTTGCACTTAAGCTGCTGCTGGATCTGTAATATTATGGTTCATTGAAGCAAGAAAGCCAAATTTGCTGACATAAGACTGCATGGACACTGTTTTGTGAACGTGTGCCAAGCACAGATCCATCCTCACTGTTGAAGGCAGACACGGGATGCCCCCTAAAGGCACCACCATGATCGAGCATAGCAGAGGCCGGGAATCGTCATGCTGGGAGCTACCTTGGCTGCAATGTGTGGATGCTTGCAACACTATGCTGCACATGCATTCTTCTCCACATCAAAATGCCATGCGCACTCCAAACACCAGTCAGCACTGATCTTGCCATTGCCAAAGCTTATGCACCAGAGCAACTCTGCCCCCCACGAGCACACCAAAACCTTACAAGGAGGTAGGAAATTGTGGAGTACACAAAAGCCACCACCCAGCCAAATACAGCTACTGCGAACCTAAAAGGAAATTTGCCTCACCGTGTCAGAGCCCACTGTGGGTGAGGCTGTACAGCCAATGATCTGCAGGAAACACAACAACCTCCTGTCACTCCATGTGCATCGCACCCAGAGCCTGTTCATCCAACTGTTTTGTATTATTGACTTTCTTCTTATTACAATTAACCACATAGCACTGTGATGGGGGACACTGTGCCCAACAAAGGAATGAGTTCTTCATTCCTTCTGTATTGACGTCTGTGCAATACTTGGTAGAAAAGCGGTAGCACAAACAGCTGAGCATGGATGGGCAACAGTCTGCAGCTTTTGAAGGCAGTCTCTTCCATCCATTGCTATTTCTTCTCAGCGTCAAGGCAATGCTGTGCGCGATCCCGTGTGGATCGTTCACCTGTGTCTTAATAACACGAGTTGCTCTGCTGGGCAGCGGATCGTCCTCCTCTCTTTCTTCATCTCTTGCATCTCGACAGAAAGTTGCAAGCTTATTGTAGGGGTGATCTCCCCGAGCCCAGTGGCATTCATCTAATATCTGCAGCCATGCCACACATAGCCTTGAGCTTCAAACCTGGCATTGCTTCACAGGTGCACAAGCAATGCTTGGTGTGCGATGAAATATGAACTAAAACAAAATTCGCTGCAGTTGGTAAGTTTGCAGCCAGAAAACTGCATGCAGGTTAATGGACAACATTTGACGTGTATTCTTTCAAAAGTGTGTCAAAGGAAGAATCGCACAAGCACTGCAGGATGTGCTACACATAGCCATGGCAAGGTCGTCCTGCAACATTTTGATAGAAACCAATGCGCATGCAAGCATTGTCAGCTGCAGGAACATTCCTCAATCCCATTGTGAGCAAAATGGCCTGGGGAACCATTCGATCCGTATTATTCATGCTGCCATGAAACAAATTGACACAAGCGACTTCAGCCAATTGTGACAGAAAACCAGCACAGAAAAGCCATGCATTAGGTTACTGTTTTCTGCTCAGGATGCATTCACCATCAACTTCCTCAGCAAAAGTATTCAGAGCCTGCATCTCAGTTGAGTATTGGGAGTATTGCAGGAAATGATGGCAAAGGCCCAAAATGTACCAGGCAAAACTGCAGCAACGAGATGCTTGCTGGACTCACGAGTGGGACCAAATAGCGATCCAAGAGAAGCATAGAATAACGAACTGCATGATAGTGCCTGTTGGCAGGCAAAATCGGTGCTCATTTACAGAGCATCTCTGCAATTCCTTCAGCAGTTGTGTTGAAATTGAACACAAGTTTGTAGCTCATATGGGTCTCCACACAATTTTCAGTGGCAAAGGCAAACAGCATCAACATCCCTTCCCACATGTAGCATGTCCTCACCCATTCTACTGTGTATCATATCTGACACAAATGACCAAGTTCCAAATTTGCTCTGGATGGGAACAATCCTTTCTACACAGAATGGCAAGGGTGCTGGTGTGTGGAATGTCATGAAATCCATGCAACTGCTACTTTTGCGGCACAAGCACCAACACTGGCCTCTTCAACCCCACAGCACCCAATGTCAACTGCTTCAACTCCTCTGCCTACTGCTGTTTCACCAAGCACACAAGACAGGCAACAAGCAGACACAGAAGCACCCACTACATCACGCTGTACATGTGAACACAGAGCACACACACGCACACACAGTTCTTCAAGCACAATGCAAATACTGTGCACAATACAAGTGGATTTGGCATTGCATGCAAATCTAACACACTCTCACCAACATGCGTATGTCGTCCATTGAAATCAGGTTGTCATCCAGAGAGTTGACCAACAGCTGCGCTGTCATAACTATGACCACGTACTTCTTGAGGGCCTCCCTTGTGAACTTCTTGTTCTCTGAAGAGAAATGGCTGACAAGCTCCCTTTTGAATCCATATGTGACGAACTCGTCTGCCTGCTGTTTTGTGAGTGCCACCTTTGGTACAATGAATACGATCCTTGCCGATGGCTCCTGGCCATATCTGTACCTGCATGAATTCAGGAAGCCATCACCAACAGATTTGTATTGAAATCACAAGGCAACAAAACGTCCAAAGTGCAAACAGGCACTGGATACCACCCACACAAAGCAGGATGACATTCAGAACAAGCTCTCTAGAATACCGAGTGTATCCAAGTGCATCCTTGGCCAGCTGGCTGCAACGGAAGGAGCAAACTGTGTGGCAGTAATGCTGTTGTGTAGCTGCCTTGCCACCACGTTTCTATTGCGATGGCCAGGCACAATCCACTAGCCACAGATTCATTCAACCATGCCCCAAATTCTGTTACTGTCACACAAGGCAGAGTGCACCTACTTCGCTGCCTCTATGCAAATCCGGGTTTTCCCGCTGCCTGTGGGTGCGATCACAATGTAGTTGTGATCTCCTTGGTTGATCAGTTCAATGCATTGCCTCTGATAAGCTCTAAGTGGCTCAAGGCCCTTGACCTTTCTTGCTGCTGGCACTGAGGTCTGAACAGGGTCACTGTCCAAGGTGCAGCGGCCAAGCCCGATATTGCCTGCGGTTGCTTGACTGAATGGCTGAACATGACAGGTCCCCACAATGCTATCCCTCCTCTCACTGCAGCATTCTGGCTGTCTGGCAGATTGTACTGCAGGCCCCCTTCCAATTGTGCGGCCAGAAACATTCCCAGTCGCCAAACCACTTTGAAACATGGGCCTCTGGCCTTGTCCAGGTGTTGGCCCAGAGAACTCATTATCCTGTGTTTCAGCCAAGACACTGGGTGCCACTGCTGGGGGTGGCACTGGTGGAATTGCGACAAGGGAAGATTGCGGAGCACAGGCATCACTGTCATTGGCATCGCATGCCTGGCGCACATCCTCCAGCACTTCCCACATCTTAGTAACCCCCAGAACATTCAAGAGAGTCCTGTAAAACCTCTGGCGCCCCATGCTTCTCTCTGCCAGATTTACCAGAAGCTGGTGACGGGCAGGATCATCCACCTCAGATGCCACATACTCTGCTGCCTATTACACAGAAAAAGGGCTGCGCTTAAAGGGAAACCAAATGCTGGCACAATCGCTGCCACACCATGATCAGGAGATCACACAGCAATTGCAAGTCTGCCAAGGTTGAGTGCTCACAATGCCTGAATGCCTGTGGGATGTATTGAGTTGACTAGCAAGACAGCATAGGTGTGAGTGCACAGAACCAAAATAGTGTAGAGCCTTGCAGTGGCCACAAAAGAGTTTCTGTGGTCTTGATTTGCTGGATGTCACATCCCTGCAGTGCAAGTATGCATTTCCCCACACAAACTGTCTCAACAAGTCCACAACAGACTCCTGAAACAGGGCAAGCAGCAACACAATCCACCCAACCGTATCGTCCCCCACATGACCACCCAATTAAGCTCATGGCATGCCCAGAGCTCGACAAGACTGACCTGGTCTTTAGGCATCGCAAGGAATTCCTCTTGAGAGAGCATCCGAGGACCTTCCTCCATGGTCTCAACGATCTCCAGCTTCTCAGTGGCCAATGGGACTCTGTAGCTCCTGGCCACACAAAACAGTGCCTCGGACAGTCTTGCCAACAGAGCACATCTATCTTCCTCAGGCTCCACATACTGCACTGTCTTGTGGGCAGCATGTCGCAGCTCATGAGCGGACAGCACCCCAGCGTCACCCTCTAAGACAATGCACTCAAGCACGACCGCATTAATCTGAAGACAGATTTGCGCCTGCAGAGGTGAGTTATCATCAAAGACCTGAGAGCATGCCTGCTTTGCAGCATCTTCAACGGGTTTAGAAAACTCTTGCGCCATACGCAGCTTTTGCATGAATGGGATTGCTGCGCCAGCGGTGGCCGCACAGGAGTTGAACTGCTCCCCAAAGCTTGAAGTGGGTGTTGGCGTGTTTGAGGGGGTGACAGCCGGAGAGACTGGCACCCTTGGATGCGATGGCGGCTGTTGCCAAGGTTGCTGGAGATCGGGGCTGCTGCTGTCATATGCATGCACAGCAAAGTTGCCGCGTCCGACCTGCTGACCCTGCAACAGCTTGACAAACTTCACACAGGGCAGGAGTACATGACAAGTGCTGCAGCTGTTTCAGACAGCAGGAATAGCTGGGTGGGTCACGTGCATCGATTCGGTGGGACTCGCCGCCACACTTCATGTGGATGCGTGCGCCTTCTTCACTGGCAATAGGTCAACGTGGTCTGGCTGCTGTGGACGCCCGGAGATGGACAACACGTGATGCTCTCCACAACACATGAAACTGTTGCTGTCTGCATTAATCAGATGATTTCTTCAGGGCCAAACCCCTGAGCAACAGCATAGAATTTCCGTTGAAAAAGCCATGGCTGTCCCATCAAATCTGGAGCTCGGCACACTCTGTGGTGCATCTTGCGCAGCAGCGATTCAGTCATACTGTGCCAGCACATGAAATCCACTCTAGTGCTTTCTGCAATTTCCACTCAGGGCCAACAGCTTGTGCGATGCAAGGCACTACCTTGGGCCTGACAGCCGACAATACAGGACTGTGCTATAAGTGGTGGTTTCCTGCAATTCAACTCCAACAAATGCAAAAGACTAGACAAAAGACAAAACTGTGCACAAATACAAAGAACCACAAAAGCCAAATTAATTAACAGAGGTTCATTTGAGCCTGACCTGATATTGTGACTGCTCAGCATCACTCACATATTGCTGGCCAGGGTGCAGACATTGGTCTCCAGGGCCCCAGTGCGCTGCAGGCGGGGGCATTCTGGCACCTGGCTCGCCATGCAGCTCCACAAGTGATCTCTCGACCTGCCTGGGTCTGAACTGCGACTGTTCCGTCCCATCACCAAAATGGCGGCCTTGGTAACCAGAGCTAGGGTTGCCAGGGGCACTGGATGGGCAGGAGGAACGCCCATCATGGTGTGACATCTGTGACCTCGCATCATACTGTGATTGCTCGCTTTCACTCACATCTTCTCCATGCATGTGACTGCCCGCCATCGCTGGCCTCATGCCGTGCTGTGCCTGCTCACTGCCAGTCATATCCTGTCCAGCAGGATGGGGCCATTGGTCCCCAGAGCCCGAGTAGGCAGCAGGTGGAGACAATCCTGCACTTCGTCCATCGCTGGGATCCATCGGCGGTCTTCTCACAGGCACCTTGATCGCCAGTTCTGGCATCCCAGCATTGGCCTCATATCCAATAGGCTGGTGCCCTCTGGACACTGTCCAGTGGGATCCACTCTGTGGGCCAGTGGAAGAATGCTGCTGAACCGTGGGGTGGTAATTATGGCCCTGAAAACCACGTGTGCCATCAATGGAGGTAAGGGGCGTGGCTGGTGGTGTCTCTGAATCAGAGGCAGGGGCTGGGGAGCTGTCCTGGCCACTGACCATCGACCACGATGCACTGCTGCAAGTCACTGGAGTGCCCTGAAAGGAACATCAGAGTGTGTGGTCATTATCCAGTTTGCAAGAAAGTTCGACGCGAACGTTGACTAGATTGGTCTCCTTGCCTTGGCACCCCATCTCCAAATATGTCCGCACCAGGGTTGCCTGAAGTCCTCAAGGGAGAGAGAGCAGCATTCTGTCGTGATAAATGCAACCACTGGGGATTTCCTCCACAACATTGTGTGGTGGTGTCTTGGAGTGGGCAGTACCTGATGGTGGCCACTATACAAACCACTGCATCAGAAGCTAAAGGGCAGCAAGACTGCCCACAGTACTCCTAACAGAAGCACATTCACAGTCACCTAATGACTCACCAGTTGGCTGTTTCCAGTGGCAGCCATGGTTGGCAGGGGTCCCTGAGGCTGGGCTGCCATACCACCGCCCTCCTGCCTCACCGATTCCCAGGACATGCTGCGCTCTGTTTCTGGCAGAGTGATCCCCGATGACACCTCACCAGAATGTTGAGCATCAACTGATGCACCCCTGCCTGCATGCCTGGGCCTATGTCCGTCTGGACAAGGTGGACCACCAACACCAGTATACAAGGCTCGAGGTGGCCCCTGGTCACACACATCGTCCAACGCCTGGGGCAACTCGGCCACGTCATCCTGCCGCATGCTCCTCCAATACTCACCCTGATCTGCCCTACCAGCCAACAATCTGATGTGATGCAGCATGACAGGCGGGATTTTCCTGCAAGTGACTTCCTCCGCCTGTGGCTGGGGCCCGGAGTTCTGATCGGCCTTCCCATCCACGGCCCAGCTGCACTCCTTCACACCAGCGGGCAAGGCGACCCTGAAGAGAGTGGGAGACTTGGCGCTCTGCACCACAGTGTTGCCTTCCAGGCCTGGGATGCCAGAGATCTTGACAACGCAGCCTTTCTTGAATTTGTGCACTGCGGACGTGACGATGGACACTTCTTTCGCGATGGTGAAAACTCGCTTCAGTTTCACAGAGGGCGCAGGGGGTTGTACGGCCCGCTGAGCGCGCAGTACCTCAAACTGTCCATCCACAGGCAGACTAGTCGTCAGCCAAAGCGGGGGCCTGGCCCGAAAGCCAACCCCTCCCACCCCATTCCATAATGGCCATCCAGAATGCGAACAACTTTCCACCACGGAGATCAACCGGACAACCTGCCAAGGGCCAAATCCACGCCAAGCTCAGTTCAATGCCGTACCCCAATAGCACGAATTGCACCGGCCCACATCCGCGCCTGACGCTCGGCAGCAAGGTGGGCGAACGCCAGCAGACAGAACGCAGCCACATTCCCCACGAAATGTCCACGCGCCGCACATCAGCCTCCCCCAGAACGGCGATCCCTCACCTTCACAACCGGCGACGTCCCGTGCAGCGGCAGCCTCTCCGATTCATACACCACCATCGTGCAGCCGGGCTGCTCGCGAAGGCTCACCGGCTGCTCTTTCAGCCTCATCTCCGTGTAATCGCGCGCCTGCCCCTCCAAAAACGGCCGGAGCAGTCCCTCATCTTCCACGCAGCCCGGCGGGGCACCCCCCTCAATGAGAATAATCCCAAACCTCTCCTGTCCAGGGCCCAATGCCAGCAGCATCTCCTTGCACGCCCTGGACCATTCCGCCCTGCCCCCCTCCCCGCCGCTCTGGCGGGTGGTGCACACGCAGTAGGGCAGCCGGCCCCGCGCACCCCCCTGTATCGCCTGGCGCCCGCGCTCCAGCAGGCTGAGGTACTGCCCCTCCTGCAGCCATGCGCCGTCGATGTCTTCGCCGCGCAGCATCTGGGAGGATCGGCGGCCGAGGCCCGCGGGGGTCGCCCTTGCTGCCGCCCTGCCCTCGCCGACTCCCCCTGCCGCCAAGCGACAGGACGCCCTGGTGTGTCTCTCCCCGCCGCCTGCCATCGGGAAAATGTACTAAGGGTCGACAGAAACTCTTGCCGTACAGTCAGCTTGGCTCGGCGATTGGATGGGATCCCGAACGGTGAGGTCTTCGCCTCCGTGTGTTGGGAGGCCACGCCGGGTGCTTTTGCGCAACCCGTTCTTGACAGCGAGGCGAAGGCGCTAAGATTGCGCGGCCGGTGGGCGCCTGGCAAGCGGGTTGAGGGAGGGCTGTGAGAGACGGGCGTTGGTTGCGCCAGATGCGATGCGAGCGAAAAAGATGCGCGGTATTGCCGACAGGTTGCATCGATCCGCTAGGGGCGCGGCATGTTTGATGCCTCGAGGCGAAACGGTCGCGCCGATTGGCGCCCGGAGGGGAGGGGAGGAGATGGTCCGCGGTTGTGCCCGCGTCGCGCAACCGACGCATGCGGACCTATTATCGGCGGGCGGCTCTTTGCACGGCTGCGCGCATCGGAGGGCGGCCTCGGTGAAGCATGGCGCTGGTGGCGCCAAGGATGGGAACCCAGGGGACGTGGACGGCGCGACGACGTGACGGCGTCCCCTCGGGAGGGCGCCGACGCGTGCTGAACACCTCCACAAAAGCCCAGTACTTTGCGTCTGGAAGGAAGCGGCTGTTTGGGGACCAAACTGGAAGATTGTGCATACATTTGGCGGCCGAGTCTCCGATCCGTGGATGGCTAAGAACGAGCGAACAACGCTGCTCATCCTTGGTTGACATCACTGACACAGAATTTCGTTCAGAGAACGCATGTGTTTGGCACTTTGCAAATTGTGTATAGCTCAAAGTACTTTGGCTGCATTTGTCAAGAAAACAAGTAACTACGCCACAGACTCCAGAGTCTATGCGGCACAGCTTTCCTTCATAGTCTCTGCGGTGCAACGCCTTATAACACATAGCGACACAGCAGCCTGCTGATACCGACCTGCAATATGTACTGCTGCAGCACCATGTACTTTGTACTACGCCTTGTACCACAAATGATCGTGGTGGAAGGCACCTCAAACAACACCGTGTCCTCCTTTAAGGTCCATCTGCTTGGATCCTGAAGGAGATACCACATTTGCTCTGTGCCAACGTGCAGCCCTTGCCCAAGGACCCTGGATAGATTTTGACGAGTCTAGGAACACAAATGCTATTGGCATGTTATGGGCCATACAAGCAACACAAACTTGTTCAGTTGCTTGACTTCCGACTCAGTAGTACCGAGGTCCGAGGGCCTTAATGTTCCTTGCAAAGCAACAAATTTTAATCGGTTTATAAATTGGTTTGACTTTTGTTTGAGGCACCAATAATGGAGCCAATCTAAATGAGTAGATGGCTGCCTTGCCACATTAATCTCTATGCGGATACTCCCAAGCTGATGCCCCGTGACACTCAGGATTCCAGGCTGGAATGGCCTTGGTCGAAAGGTTGCAAACATACTGGAGGTATACCCCTCAGGCAACTCGCCAAGAGGCCACAAGGAATCCACAGGGGTCATCAG